GGAGGAGGGGGAGGGGAAGGAGGAAGAGCCGCAGCTGCTGCTCGAAGGCAACAAGCTCGTGCTGCCTGCAGCCCGCGGCTCCGTCTCCCGGCCTCCCCCGCGCGCCCGCTTTTCTCGCCAGTGCAAGGCCCGCTCGCGCGGCGCCCAAGCGTCGCTCCCCGAGAGTCTAGGCCGGAGGCGGCGGGCGCCCCGGCGGCGCGAAAAGGGCGCCGCGGCGGAGGCGCGCCCGACGCAGGTGCGGAGCTCCGATCGGAGGTAGGGGGGAAGGTCACGGCGACTGGAGCCAGAGAGAGAGGGGGTGGCGAGAGGGGGAGAGGGGGAGAGAGAGAGAGAGAGGGAGAGAGGGAGGGAGGGAGATAGGGAGAGCGAGAGAGAGAGAGGGGGAGAGAGAGAGGAGAGAGCGAGCGAGAGAGAGGAAAGGACGAGGAGGGCCAGGAGAAAGCCAGGATGCGCCAACGATCCTCCCGCCCCCGAACCCCCTCGGTCCCTGCAACCCACCCGCTTCACTGCAGGAAGCGCTCCCTCCACGGAGGAGCACCACATGGGCCTACCGTCCTGGCGAGAGAGACCCGTTTCGGAAAGGAACTGCCCCGCATCCTTATCACGAAGTACCAGCCGTGCGGGACTGTGAGGTCAGAAAGTCCAGCGGGACGTCCGGCCAGGGCGCCTCTCCGAAAAGAAGCCGCCCCTCATCGGTGCAACAGATGCACAGGCTTACACGTCGTTCATTTCTAATCGTGCTCATTTCTAATTGCGCTCGTTTCCAATTGTTCCTGGCCCCCTGGTGGCCAGGAAGAGGCCCAGGATAGAAACATCAGAAACGGAACGACCTTGGCCCCCCAAGAAATCAAACTGATTTTCGAAGACTTAGAAATGAACAGTGTGTACACCTCGGGCAGCAAGAGGAAGGAACGCCTCCAGGCGAGAGCTCCATCTTGGACAACGCCCTCCGCCCGTGCAACGCCGCGCATTGTTATGCATCTTGCACAAAGAATGACGGGTCCTGCGTTACCGTATAGGAGGAAGAGGAGGAGGAAGAGGAGGAGGAGGAGGAGGAGGAGGAGGAGGAGGAGGAGGGGGCCCCCCCAGTCCGTAGGGGCGCCTCTCGCGACGGCCCCCCCCGTCCGACGAGGAGCCGCCCTCCGTCCTCTTTGGCCGCCGCACGCTCGCGCCTTCTTGTTGGCGGGTGTGGCCAGACAGCCGAGGCGGCAGCGCAGCCCACGCGTGCCCGCGGCAGCACACGCACCAGATTACAGGGGAGGCGGCGTAGGAGGAGGAGGAGGAGGAGGAGGAGGAGGAGGAGGAGGAGGAGGAGGAGGAGGAGGAGGAGGAGGAGGGGGAAGGAGGAGGAGGAGGAGGAGCGGGAGGAGGAGGAGGAGGAGGAGGAGGAGGAGGAGGAGGAGGAGGATGGCGGCTGGCTCAGCCCGGCGCCATGCAGGCTCCCCGAACCCCAACGGGGCGGGCGCCCGCATTAGCCCAGCAGAGCGGGGCTGCGCCACGGCGCCCTGGCCCTTGCCGTGATTTTTTCAGCTGACGCAGGGCTCCGAAGAGCATGTTCTTCGCGGCGCTACAGCAAACGCAACGTTCGAAGCCACTGGCTCTCTACCTCTGCAACTGGTGCACATCTTGAAAATGAATGCGCACGGCCCAGAGGCGAGAGCCACATTGTGAAGACGACGGGCCTCCATCGCTGTAACTTTTGCAGCCATGTCAACCGAATGTACGCGGCGCCGTCTCCAAGAGCGCATGCTGAACACGAGCCAGCCCTCATCATTGTAAAAATGTGTACCGTGCTGAAACGAATGTGCTGCGCGGCGCTAAGGCGACAACCCCATAAGAAAAACAAGAAAACTACCGTCCGTCCATGCCTGTCACTGATGCCGTATTGTCATGTCTGAAAGACAGCGCGCAGTCGGGAGGCGAAGGCCACATTGTAAAAACGAGGGGGGTTCCAATCGTTGTGAGCAGTGCAAACTCTCCAAACGAACGTGCGCGGCGCCGAGACGAGAGCCTCGTTTCGAGAACAACCGGCCATTCATCCGTGCAGCGGTTGAATGTGTTAAACTTCGGGTTAGTTTAAACGCGTCGGGATCTCAGACGGAGCGCCAGGCATTCTTACGAGGGGGAGGGATGGAGGTGGAGGAAGGAGGAGGAGGGGATATGGAGCAGGAGTAGACGGGCGAGGGGGAAGGGAAGGGGGAGGATGAGAATGAGAATGGAAAGGAGGGGGAGAGGGAGTAATCATAGCGACTGGGAATAAGGAACAAGACGGAGAAGGAGGACGATAGCAAGAAGTATCCTTCGTCCTTGCCTGAGGAAGGGAAGGGACACTATATCGAACTATGAAATGTCGGAAGAAGGGGGGGAGAGAGGAAGAAGACGCCAAAGAAGGGAGGACCAGGGAGCAGCGAAAGGTACGGCTTCAGCACATGGCCGCTGGGCCCCTTTGGGGCCACCGAACAGCCGGCTTCTCCAACTCCTGCTGGCTCTGAGTCTCGTCCTCACGCTCATATTCGTATTCGTCGTCGTTTTCGTCGCCGGCATCCTCCTCCTCCTCCTCCTCCTCCTCCTCCTCCTCCTCCTCCTCCTCCTCCTCCTCCTCCTCTTCCTTCTGTCGGACATCGTCGTGTACGTTGCCGTCCTCCCACACCGTTCCGTTCTCGTAGTCGTGCTCGTCGTCGTCTTCGCCGTCGCCGTCGCCGCCGCCGCCGTCGCCGTCGCCGTCGCCGTAGCCACCGTCGTCGCCGCCGCCGCCGTCGCCGTCGCCGTCGCCGTAGCCACCGTCGTCGCCGCCGCCGCCGTCGCCGTCGCCGTAGCCACCGTCGTCGTCATCGTCGTCGTCGTCGTCGTCCTCGTCGCCGTCGGCATCTCCATCGCCGTCGCCGAAATCGTCGTCGCCGTCGTCGCCGTGGTCGTCGTCGTCGTCGTCGTCGTCGTCGTCGTCGTCGTCGTCACCGCCGCCGCCGCCGCTGTCGCCGTCGCCGTCGCCGTCGCCGTCGCCGTCGTCGCCAGGAGTCGTGATGATCGTCGCCGTCGTTGCTGCCGCCAGCGTCACCTCCGCCGTCGCCGTTGCCACCACTGTCGCCGTCGCCGTCTTGGTCGCCGCCAACGCCGTCACCGACGTGGTTGTCGCGATCGCCGCCGCCGTCCTTGCATCAAAATTCGCTCGGAGCCTGTCCTGGGACAACTCCCAAGACCCTACCCTTTCTATTCCTGCGTCCAGCCGTGGCGACAGGAGCCGTCAGACATGCCCAACATCCATCACGACGCCGACGTCCTTCCCCCGTCGTGGTCTTCGAAGGCTCTGGAGATCTACTGAAGTCTCTGGGCCCCCCCAGACGCTCCCGGAGGCCCAGAAGGCCCAACACGTCTACGGACGTCGATCCTCGTCGCCGTCGCCGTGGCTATCGTCGCCGCCGCCGTCGCCGCCACTGCCGCCGTCGCCACCGCCGTCGCCGTCGCCGTTGCCAAAACCGTCGTCGCCGCCGTCGTCGATCAGGCCTTCGCCGTCGCCGCCGTCGTCGCTCAGGCCTTCGCCGTCGCCGCCGCCGCCGTCGTCTGGGGCCCCCGCGGCCAGGGGCTCTGCCTGGGGGGGCAGCCCGGCCCGGCGTCCCGGCAAGGGGGAGGCGGGGAGGCGGAGCCTGGGAAGCCCGCGCAGCGGGGAGCCCGCCGCGGGGGGAGGCTGCCGCGCGTCGACCTCCAGAGTCGGGGGGGTGGGCTGGGGGGCGCGGGGGCGGAGGGGGGTGCAAGGAGAGGCGGGAGGAGGGGGGAGAGAGGAGGCAGGGTCAAGCCAGGTGCGCAACCAGCTTATCTGACGTCCTGCGCCTCCCTCCGTCGGATGTCGAGCAGATGGCCCCGAGATGGTGCGAGATGCATGGTAGTGCACGGCGAAACACGGCGAAGAAGAGCAAGGCATAACGAAACATGTCCAGAGGGAAACCAGACATGACGCAAAACGAGAAATGTGAAAGAACGGTTCGGACAGAGCGGAATCGCAACAGGAGAGCCAACGCCGTAGCGGGAACAGGAGTTGGGCGATCCGCAACCAAGAATCGAGGTCAGCCCTGCAGCGGGAGTAGGATTCAGAAGGACTCTGAGTCAGAGAATGGAGCCAACGCTGTAGCGGGAGTGCCGTTCGGGAAACACTGAAAAAGTTCGGAAGGAGGGTTGAGGGGGGAGAGGAAAAGCGGAGGGGAGGGGAACGGGTGGCGGGGCGGCGGGGGCGATGAATGTCCGGAGGGGGCGGAGCGGGAGGTAGGGATGGAGGGGGGGAGGGAGGACGGGGAGAGGGGGATCAAACGGAGGGGGTGGGACGGAGGGAGGGAGGGAGCGAGGCGGTGGGGGAAGCAGGGGAGGGAAGGAGGGCAGTGGAGGGGGGAGCGGGGGAGGAGGCGCAGGAGAAATGACAGTGAGAGGGAGGAAGGGTAGTGTGGGGTCAGTGGGGGAGCAGGGAGGAGGACGATGGATTACAGGGATTACAACCATGCCTGAGCGACGCCAGATTACCGAACAACTCACACCACACACTGAGGGGAATGGGGCAAGGCAGGCAGGAGCCAGGAGGGATGATGGACCCAGGACCCAGCAGGGGCAACCCTGGAGGAGGAGGAGGAGGAGGAGGAGGAGGAGGAGGAGGAGGAGGAGGAGGAGGAGGAGGAGGAGGAGAGGAAGAAAGAGGGAGGAGGAGGAGGAGGTAGAGGAGGAGGAGGAGGAGGAGGAGAGGAGGAGGAGGAGGAGGGGGAAGGAGGAGGAGGAGGAGGAGGAGGTTAGGTAGGAGAGGAGGAGGGAGGACGGAGAGGAGGAGGAGGAGGAGAGGAGGAGAGGAGGAGCAGGAGGAGGAGGAGGAAGGAGGAGGAAGGAGGGGGAGAGGGAGGAGGTAGAGGAGGAGAAGAGGAGGAGGAGGAGGAGGAGGAGGAGGAGGGCGGAGCAGGAGGGCTTCGTGAAAGTGTGGGAGTGGAATCTCGAAACTGCTTTACACCCGAATTCACGCGCGCCTGCTGTCTCCTCCTCCTCCTCTCCTCCTCCTCCTCCTCCTCCTCCTCCTCCTCCTCCTCCTATGGGTCATCCTCGCGCGGCTCCCCCAGGCAAGTGTGAAGAGCGCGGACCCTCTCAGGAGGCTCGGAAGCCTCAGGGCCTTCTGAGAAGTGTCCTTAGCCTGCCGCGGAGACACGGGAGACTTCTCAGAAGGCCGGAGGGCTCCTGAAGAACCCCGCCGCCTTCCGAGAAAGCCTCCTCCTTCTCACTTCCCCCCCTCGCTCGCCGCCGAGAAAGAGGAGGCGGCGTACTGCTCGTCACTGTGTGTCGCCAGACTCCGGCCTCGGGACTGGGAGCCATCTGGCCGACAACGCCGCACGGAAGGCACGGCCCGGGGAAGGTGCCGAGAGGTCCACCGACGCGAATGAATCTCGAATGACCCAGGCCCCTCCTCCCTCGTCCTCCCCCTGCTCCTCCTCCTCCTCCCTCCTCCTCCCCCTCCTCCTCCTCCTCCTCCTCCTCCTCCTCCCTCCTCCTCCTCTCCCCTCGCTGGCACTCCCCTCGCCCAGCGGAGCATGTGGCTGATCATGGGTCCGACCCAAAAAAAATCCCCTCCTCCTCCTCCTCCTCCTTCCCTCTCCCCTCCTCCTCCCTCGTCCTCCTCCTCCTCCTCATCCTCTTACGCCTCCCCCTCTCCGCGTCGCCCCTCGCCCCGCGTGGACCTAGGAGGTGTCAGCTCGACTGCGACCTAATCGAAACACCTGTGCATACTCGCGTGCAGGGCGGGCGCGGCCACAAAAAACCCTCGCAAGAAGCCCAGCCCCGAAAGCCCGCGCGCGAGGTGCACCTGAAGGGAAACCCGGAGCATCCTGGACGGAGCAGCTTCGTTGACGGGCCGCGGGAAGTCACCGTGCAGCGCGCGGAGCGAAGAGACCCAGGGTAGCGTTCAGAAAAGCAGAT